GATAGAGTCTACTCTATTATTGGTAGTGTCAGCATAATATGCTACGTTTGTTGGTCAAAAGAATTATATTAAAATTGTTATGAAAAAATTATTAATACGTACATTAATATTAATTTTAAATAAAATTTTCAGTTTGATTTTATAAAATTTTCAACTAAGTTTTTTTATTTTTTTCCTAACCATTTTTTTCACATTTACAATTTATATTCAAATTTCAAATGGGACAATTTATTGACATGCATGGATTTTGGGTTCGTCTCCAACTCGCAATAGGCTGCAAAGACCGCCAAGTTAAGAACAATGTGTGCTGTGAGAAAACAAGAAACAAATAAACATGTCCGTTCCATCTGCCCTTTTTCGACCTTATTTGTCGTGTCTCTGTACTTTTTTTTGGAATACACGTTTTTTTCCGACCTTATTTGTACTTCTTTTTCACTTTTTGAAATAAAAAAAAAGTATTCAGTTCTATCAAGGCTCTGTTTGTCATTATGATTAAAAGTATTTATAAGTACGTTTTAGATAAATCGAGATAAAACTCATCTTATATATTTATCTCGTATTCTATAAATCACGATTGAAAAACTACTTATAAACTATTCTAAACAGATCCTAAAAATTCAATCGTCCATAAGCTACCCGTCTTTTTATTCTGTGTTACTTTTTAGGGAAAAAAACACTAAAATACCCTCAAAATTACTAAATGACAAAAGATGGTAGGTAAATTTCAAAATCTCAATTCAGACCTCAGGTACTATTTTTGGAATTTTTAAATCTTGTAAAATTACACAAATGCCCTTTACTTTTTCTTTTACTTTTTTTTAAATACTGCCACATCAGCAATTCCGGCCGCCGGAGCTCCGACGCCAGCGACCCTGCTGGTGACCAACTACCTGAGCTCCGGTGACCGGTTACCAGGGTTCCGTTGATCGGTTACCGGAGTTCTAATAACTACTTTTTCTTATATATTGACTACTCTTTTTTAGTTATTGACTACATTTATTTTTAAACTTTGATGACACATTACCGGAACTCTGGTGACTAGTCAACGAAGCTCTAGTGACTTGTCTTTCTTATATATTGACTACTCTTTTTTAGCTATCGACTACATTTATTTTTAAATTCTGATGACTACTCTTGCTAAGCTATTGACTACTATAGTAATGCGATTTAGTACTCTTGTGTAGTCAATAGCTATATAAAAAATATTTATCAGAACTTTGAAAACAAAAGTTGTCAATAGTTAAAATAGAGTAGTCAATAGCTATATAGAAGTAGTCACTGATAGTAAGGACAATATTGTCATTTTATAATGTTTAAAAATTCCAAAATAGTACCTGGGGTCTGAATTGGGATTTTGAAATTTATCTACCCTTATTTGTCATTTAGTAATTTTGAGGGTTTTTTACTGTCTTCTTCCCTACTTTTTATCGTGTCTTTTTAATTAACAATGACCATAGTCTTTTCAGTACGATATTCTGTGTTACTTTGATGTATATATAACAATTGTTCTTAACGTTTTGGTGTGACATGCTAGCTGCAAATTCACTTTTATTTTTCAAGTTTTACAAGTGAGATTTTTTTATCAATCAGCTTTTTAAATAATTAATTTTTCTGCATATGTAACATTGTGCAGAAAAATTAAAAATAAATTATCAGGATATTGCAACCGCCTTTTCAAAAATACACAGTTTTTTAATTTAATCTTTTAAAATGGGTACATGCAATCTCAATTTTATAAATATTATATCTGCAATACTGTATTTACAATATTGATATTGATAATTGTGTGTGTTAATATTGACAGAATACAAAGCACTTTATTCCATGAAATTCATTTAAGATCATTAATAAGTGCTAAATTATTTGAACAAATGTTCTTATATTTAGGCTAAGTTTGGGAGAGGGGTGAAAAGAGTGAAAAAGAAATGAAAGGGGAGCCGACTAAAAACCATGTTTGGTAGAGAATCTATAGATTATTCTATTACACTGATTATTTTGGAAAGATGGCCACAAATTTTTCCATCCAAGTATAGATGAAAGGTAATACAATATCAAGGCAATGAAAGATATTTCGAAACTAAGAGCAGTCATTACTATATCATCTGAAAAAGCAGCTTCAAGACTTTCCCCGCTTTGGTGGATTGAACTGGAAATATTGTCTCTTTTGAGACTAATTAAGTTTGTGTACTCCATAATCTCTGCTATATTTTTCAAATTGTTTTCTTTCACAATGTTATATCAATGTATGAGCTTTATAAAATTCCATTGTTCTTTAATTATGTGTTCCTTTTTAGTATCTATTCATAATTAACAATGAAGTTATGCATAATAAAAATTATTTTGACATTTTGATTTGATCTGGCGTAATAGATACAAACTCATTTTTATTATTTCGATCTTAGAAAAAAGATTTTTTCTATTTCACTTATATCTTTTAAATAAACTAAAACACATTTAAAGAGAATCATCTTCCATTAGGAAGATCTGTGCCTATAACATCGTACAGAAAATTTAAAAACAAATTATCAGGTTTATCAACTTCTTTTAATTGCGTATTTTTTCAATATAATCTTTCACTGAATGGGAAACTCCTTACTACTGTTTAAATACTACATCTATCATACTATAGTTGTGAAATTGATATTTTTGAAATATGTTTGAATGGGAGTATCTTTCACGACATGCATTTCGCACTTCATTCCACCAATAGAATCCAAGTGGAACAAGTAAATTAAGCCAATTGTTTTTTTAATATTATTATATTTTGCTATCAAATTAATTAGTGAAAATAAATTTGTTAAGGATGAAAACAAATAACTAATTATACTTTTCCACACAATGATGGACCAACAAATAGTGGGAAATTTTGTGCCTAATATAAATATCAATTTTTAATATTTCTTTATTAGTAACAGAAGAAGTAATATATTCTTAAAAAAATATAAGAAAAATTATAATTTAAACATGTATATGCCTTGTGTTTAAAAAAAATAAATGGGGTAGGCATATGTTTTTTTGGGTGGGGAACAAATGAAACATCTTGAAGGAAGGCAAGTTAGTTTGTAAGGGGGGTTCTATACAATTTTTTTAAATAAATAATATTACTTTCAGTTTTTTTCAGCTCGAAAAAAAATATTACTTTCAATTTTAAATATAAGATATATTTTACAGTGCAATTTATAATAAACAATAAATTAAATAATATATTTAGGACCAAATAATGTGCTTCTCTGATCCTCAATATAAGACCTAATTAACTAATTTGAATAAATTAAGGATGTTAGTTAAACTAGTTCATATAATATGTTGTTTTTTTTTCTAAAATATTATAAGCATTTTTTTTAATTTTTTTTCATTCCTCTTCTACTTGATTATTGTTGAGGGATATCAATAGAGTTAATTTAAAAAAAAAATTGATAAGCACATGAAATAGGATTTACATGTAGAATCAACAAAACCTACTAATTAAGTTCTATATTAACGATAAGAGGAGTATAATAATATTTGAGCAACTTGCATTATGCACAAGTCATGCGCATGCCACCTATAGTTTTAAATTTTGTGTAACATACTAACATCATCAAAGCGGTCAAACCATAGCTTCATTCTATACGAACATCATCATCTACTCCAGAAGTCTTATTAAAAGTTCGACTAAATTTAGAAACCTATCCAACAATCACATGTACAAAATAGTTGTTGCTTATTTAGGAAAGAAACTTGAAATTGTCCTCTTCAATCTTCTGTGATCTTTTTCTTGCCCATAAACATGAGACTTTTTTTTTAAAAAAATATTTCTTCTTCACAACATTGAATAGATAATCGTTGATAGTTTGGACATTCTACTTGTTATGGATAGAAGTTCCACAAATTTGAATGAGAAGTCTCAAGAAAAGTTGCTTAGGAAATTCCATTGCAAAAATATATTCTTTACAATAATTATATTTATATCATAATTACATATTCAAAACTCTTTAAGATAACCAAACATGCCTATTGATGCAGGCGTGTCCGTTCTCTCCTTTTTCCACCTTATTTGCTGTGTCTCCATTTAGCTTCTTTTTGGATAATAACAAATAGACAGAAAAATTATAAAATCTTAAATTAAAAATTTTATAATTTTCACGGATTTTCTTGTTAAAAATTATTTTTCGGATATAAGATTTGTTTTCTACACTTAAATGTTTATTTTTTTATTTAAATTATAATAAATATATAATATTATTTGGGTTAAGTTGCAAGGTCCAAATATTTTCTTAAGTACATCCAGTAGTTTAAAATATTCTGTGATATATCTAATACTTTGAAGTACTTCTTGTTTGCATTCAGCATTTTAAAATATTTTTGGGCATCTAATACCGAAACAAAAATAATATTTTAGCATACAAAATATATCTAAAAAACATTTTAGAGTACTGAATATACTCAAGAAAATACTTGCAAGTTCTGAGTACACCTTAACACTATTATTTTTTATTTAGTTATTATGTTAGCGGTTGAACTATCGATCTCACCGATTAAACCACGAAAATCATGACCATTATTCTTTTCAGTTCGATATTCTGTGTTACTCTTTATTGTCTCTTTTTAATTAACAATAGAAATATATTAGCTTTTTTTAATGAGAGCAATTAGCTTTATTTTAGGTTGAGTGGATTTAATTATTAAAAAAATTTAAAAATTAGTATTATATATTTGAAAAATACAACTTTTCAAGACTTTGCGCGTACTTCTCGAATTTTATGAGAAATTAAGATTCGAACTCTTTTGACATAAAGGTAAAAAAAACCTCTTTTGACATAAAATAAGACATATTCCTCCGTAGCATAAAAAAAAGTAAACATAATTTAATGTGCACTTTGTTTATAGGAGAGAGAAAAATAAAATGTCATAAATATTTTTTCTTTTTTAATAATTTTCTCTCAACGCTGCACGATGTAACAGGTTAAATAAAATAAAATTAAAAAAAAAGCCTACAAGGTTAAGCTGTTTTTTCCAACTCAATTTGTAACTGGCCGTCGCTCATTCAACCTGGGGACATGAAGCATGCCCCTCTCCTTCTTCCCCCATTGTCTTAGACGAAGTTGCAGAGCAAGAACTGCAGCCAAGAACTCCACACACAGCAATGGCGTCAGCAAATCCAGCAGTCCTTTCAGTGTCTTCAGCCTCACGCAATCCGCCCCCTTCATTGTCCTTTCCAATCCATCCAACACTCCCTTCACCGCCACTTCCACCTCCCGCGCCGCCGCCACCCCGGTGCCGCTGCCCTCCGCCCTGCTTGAGAGCTTCGCGAGCTCGACCATCTTATGGTCTGCCATAGCCACCTGCAACCTCTCCATCTCCCTCTCCACCTCATCCTAAGCTCCTCTATCTTCCTAGCCTGCTCCTCGCTCATACCAAACGACGCCGTCGCGAGACTCCGAAACAGCCGGAAAACCATGGAAGGCTTCCATCCGGTGATCCAAGAGGAGGCATTCTCGAGAGGAGTGAGCCAAGTGGGAGCGAAGAAGGGAAGAACATCTTCACGAGCTTCAGCCCATTTCTCAGTATAATACTGCTTGATATGAGACGTGGCTGTGTTCACCAAATGCTGAACGTTAACGTCGTGTTCTTTGAGAGGCAGCATTTGGGTTCTGAGTGGAAAGTTGAAGAAGGTGGTGGAGGATTTCTTCGAGCTTGCAGAACCAGGTGTGGTAGAAGTCATGGAACCTGTCTTGGACTTGAGATTTCATTGTTGTATTGAAACATATAGAAGAAGAAGAAGTGAGGTTAGCTTAGTGAAGTGAATGAGAGGGTATAAAAAGGAGGAGGAAGGAGGGGGAAGAACAGATGGAGAGAGGAGAGAAGGCCACGGAAGGAAGAAGAAGAGGTGGAGAATGGATGCATGGCTTACGCGCAGCAAGTGGGGAGTAGTGCGTTACTGGCTGCGTTTGACGCTTTGCAGTTTCCCACAGGTTCATTTCGTTCATACATAACTCTCCACTTTTTAGGATTTTCTTTGATAGATGGATTAAATTTCATCTATTTTTCCTAAAAAATCTTATATAACTAAGGTTAACCCGAGTGATGAGAGTTTTTGTGATATGTGGGTGGAAGTTGAAATTCCGACATTTGTGTTTATAACAACTTGATAAAAAAAAAATCTATATTTTGTTCTCAAGTTAAAATATTTTCAGGGAAAATCCGGGAAATCCATCGTTAAAAAATTAATTAGGATTAGTCCCTGGAATCATGTTGAGGACTAAAGTCCTTAGAAAGGGAACTAATTTCATTGCTCATAGTAATGATAAGCATATGAACCGTTCAGATCAATGTTTTAAAAGCCGGACCGGAGAACGAATCGGAAAGAATAGCGGGTCACGGTTTTTATGATTCAACCGGTCTAACCGTCAGTCAAACCGGTAATATAATAATTAAATAAAAATATTATATATAAGTAATAATATATTAAACTAAAATAAAATAAATACTAACACATAAAATAAACACGATATATTTACAAAAATAATACACAAACAATATTAAATAATCCAACCAAACCTTTTTCTTGTCTTCTTCCTTATAATTATTGAAAATACTTTTACATTTGCTTCTAACTCTTCAATCTCACCCTGTAGCTATATTTCTTAATCGTTTAATGAAAAAAATATTTCATAATCATTTTCTTTAAATATTTCTATGCATAAATTAATTAGTTAAATTAAGATAACAGCATGGCAAAATCAAAACATGGCGTGGCATCTGCTAATGTCCTTCCAGAGATGACATTTACAATCCACCTGCTCCCATCTCGAATATCAAAAATTTCTTTGACTGTTGGATAACCCACCTTTTAACCTGGACATTAAACTTCGACTTCTTCCATTTTCTCTTCTGTAGTGCCGTTCATTTCTTTATGAGTCACTGCCGTCGATATTGATTGTCTTTCATCTCTCCTGTCTCTTATCTTCTGCTTCCTCTTCTAACTTTCTGCTCTCCTTTCTTCTTTTTTTCTTCTTCTTCTTCCTTTTCTTGTCAATGGCATCGAGCTCTCATAGGCCAAAGGGCTAAGATGCGACGTTGCTTGATGCTAAATGAAGAAGGATCCGGATCGAGAGATTTTTCTAGGTTAGATAGTGAAGAAGTCAAGAAGACCCTTAAAGTGAAACTCGTCCAGTTATTCAAAAACCGTTCCAGTTTCCGACTCAACCAACGGTTCCCAACGGCTCAACGTGGTCCAACATAGAAGACGATCAAAAGCATCAGAACGAGCCGTGTGAGAGTCCGGGTCATGGTCCATCTGGTTCAACCGTCCGGTCTGGTCCGGGTCTCTAAACATTGCTCTCGACTGAGAAACGTCTTCGGGAAGTCTTGTCCCTCTTACTTTTTTGAAGTGGGGTTTCTTGTGCAGGATTCTCTTCCTGCGCTTGTGTCTGAGTAAGGTTTTCTAATGGTGAAAGTGCCTTAACCCTCCCACTCGGATTAGTAGACTAAGGAATATTGGTTGCTTCCTCTTGATTATCATTCTCATATAGAGATATAGTGCTATCAATGCTCCCTTTGCTAGGAAATTCTGTCTCTAAGAATGTGGCGTCTCTTGAGATTATCTCAGTCACTGAGTCATCATCATTTTCCCCAATGAAGACGTACCCCTTAGAATGTTTTGAGTAGCGTATGAAAATACACTTCTTGCCTCTTAGTCCTAATTTCCTGAACTTATGGGAGGAGTCATGAATATATGCAGCACATCCCCAAGGTCTCAGGACACTTAGGTCTAGTTTGCGTCCTGTCCATAGCTCATAGGGTGTTGAAGTGACTGATTTTGAGGGCACATGGTTAAATATAAAGGTAGCAGTTGAAAGTGTGTCTCACCAATAGGAGATTGGTAGCTCTGCTTGAGCCATCAAAAACCTAACCATGTCGAGAAGGGTCCTATTTCTTCTCTAAGCAACTCCATTTTGCTCTGGGGGTACCGGGAACAGTTACTTGCCTAGCTACAGAGTGCTTTGAACTGGTCAAATAGATACTCTCTACCCCTGTCAGTCCTTAAGGCCTTAACTTTGTAATCCAACTGATTTTCTATAAGGTTGATGTATTTCCTAAAACATTTCAGGGTCTCTAACTTGTGTGAGATTAGATAGATGTGGCCATATCGTGAGAAATCATCGATGAAGGTAATGAAATACCAAGCTCTATGCCTTGCACTCACAGTCATAGGTCCACAAATGTCAGAGTGTACTAACTGCAAAGGATATTCTGCTCTGGATGCCTTTCCGAAAGGCTTCCTTGTGGCTTTGCCAGCTAAGCAATGCTCACATAGGGAAATTTCTTTCTCATATACATTTCCTAGTAAACCCTCTTTTGTTAGTTTGTTCATGTGTTCTTGACCAATGTGTCTAAGTCTAGCGTGCCATACATCGTAGTTCGTATCAGAAGTAACAGCATAGCATGAACTAGAATTGAAATTATTATTAAAATTTTCCAAAACGAAAAATCCGTCCAAAGCATAACCAAATCCGATAAATTCAGTCCCATGTTTAATGTCAACGACATAATTATGAAAGTGAACACCAAAATGAAACTTAATTAAAAATATGACAGACACAAGATTCTGCCGAATATCTAGAGCATAGAGCACATCCTCTAAGACCAGGGTTCGCCCTCCTTACAGAGTCAGCTCGTAGGTGCCGATCCCTTTGACTTCCACCCTTGCGTCGTTTCCAACATAAAGTCATCTGCTCTTAGTAGGTAGCTGACGAAAAACTGTGAAGTTCCCACGATCTCTGCTTACGTGGTCTATTGCACCTGAGTCTATAACCCATACAGGATTAGCTTCTACTATAAAAGCAGTACAAGAAACATATGAAAAATGTGAAGGATTTGAACTTAATACCTTCTCCTTAGGGCAATCCTTGGCAAAGTGTCTTTTCTTGCGGCAAGCATAACACTTGACCTTCACCATGTCAAGTGTAAGACCCTTAACCTCCCAAAACATCATAACCCGTCATAAAACCACTACTATGGTAGAAAAGGAAATCTGTTAAATGAACTACCATAGTAGGAAGAAATTTGCATAAATTTTGAATTCACATTTAAACCGTTGCATACAACTGAAATCATTCATTTACATCTACTGGGCCTTCGAGCCTCCGGCCCGGGTAACAACAGACATCACATCAGCCCATCTAAATGATTCCCAACCAAATAATCCAGAGTTCATAAAACACTAGCAATGGCCTCCGGCCAACCAAAATAAGGAGATACATTCTCTCCAGTTTACAACAAGGCCGGGTAATCAAATATATCAAAAAGCAGTCCTAAATGTGGCAATATATACTAGTCATACATATACAAATGCTAGAGGCCTAAAGCTAACCAAGCTCAAGCCTCTGCGCCTCTTCCTGATGGCCCACGCCCGGAACCTTCACCTGAAAACATTGTAAACCACGGGGTGAGACGGAGTCCCAGTAACCAACTTTCCCAATACTAGGTACTACTAAATAGGTGCTCGTGAGGTGTCAAGTGGGGCAGTTCACAATTAATATAAAACGATAGCCACAACAATTCATGTAAGTGCAATGATGCAATCCCATCAACCGAATCCCTCACTTTGGGGGATTTTCAGGAGCCGAAGCCGGCCTATCCCTCACTATGGGGGACGTAAAGAGCCATAAAAGGCCTATCCCTCACTCTGGGGGACGTAGGGAGCCAAAAGGCCTATCCCTCACTATGGGGGACGTACTAAGCCAACCATCATGCATTAATGGAGGCCTTACCACGTGGTAGTAACTATCAAACTCTCACCAAATCCCAAATCATGCATCATGCTCAAATCATAATCAAAGAGTAATAATCATTTCACAATTAACCTCATTCAGTGGCATATCTTTCACAATTCCAAAACTCATTCATCACTAGTCGAGACCCCACAAGACGGTTTTCCTTTTTATACACAACATACAGTTTGAACATAATTTCTATTTAGAGCACAAAACATGAATCTACTCACAATACCACAGAAGCAAGTACTAAGGATTGGAAAGTGGTTACCTCTCGCCTGAGCAAGGAATAACAAACCAACGATGTGGCCCCGTGCACCACCAAGACTCACAACCGGTCTACACAAGCACACAAACACACAACCATCATATATTAGCTTTCAAACTAATAATGTGGCCAAAATAACACTTGGGGACACAAAATTCCTATCTCCCATCAAAACTCTACCCAACTCAAAGGGTATAACTATCAAGGCAACACTTCAAAGTCATACCAATCCATTAAAACCTTAATTCCTTTCCAAACATCAATTAAAATTCACAACCTCAAGGACCCACTATGGAATTCTACACCCAAACATCCCATTCAAGCAATTAAGGTTCCAACAACAATTCTAAACTGATTAAACATCCAATTTAACCCTCCTTAACACAACCCAATTCACAAAACTCAAAATCAATCTCTACATTATCATCCTCAATCACAAATCATCCATCTCCATAAACCCTAGCTCCAAAAACTCAAGATTCTTTAAATCCAAGGAAACTACACCGATTAAATACTTAAACTAACCCAATGCAATCAATTAAACTCAAAACAATCGGTCAAAAACCTCAGCTCCATCACAACTTAGAAAATCCTAGGGTTCCACCAAAAATCCTAAAAAATTCCAAGAAATTCCAAGAAAGAAAGAATATTAGATGTTAAAATCACTTACTTGAGGTA